TACGCCGCCAGGGACTCAAATCCTGCAGTGCCAGACGTCATATGACATGTCAATGTCATATGGTCAGAATTAAACCAAAATATAACTTTTTGGTAAAAACTCTAAACCTCCAAACACTAGAAGAATGCTGAGTTTCACCATACCTACTGTGAAACATGGGGGTGGAAACATCATGCTTTGGGGCTGTTTTTCTGCAAAGGGACAAGGACGACTGATCCGTGTAAAGGAAAGAATGAATGGGGCCATGTATCGTGAGATTTTGAGTGACAACCTCCTTCCATCAGCAAGGGCATTGAAGATGAAACGTGGCTGGGTCTTTCAGCATGACAATGATCCCAAACACACCGCCCGGGCAACGAAGGAGTGGCTTCTTAAGAAGCATTTCAAGGTCCTGGAGTGGCCTAGCCAGTCTCCAGATCTCAACCCCATAGAAAATCTTTGGAGGGAGTTGAAAGTCCGTGTTGCCCAGCAACAGCCCCAAAACATCACTGCTCTAGAGGAGATCTGCATGGAGGAATGGGCCAACATACCAGCAACAGTGTGAAAACCTTGTGAAGACTTACAGAAAACGTTTGACCTCTGTCATTGGCAACAAAGGGTATATAACAAAGTATTGAGATGAACTTTTGTTATTGACCAAATACTTATTTTCCACCATCATTTGCAAATAAATTCTTTAAAAATCAGACAATGTGTTTCTTCTCATTTTGTCTCTCATAGTTGAGGTATACCTAGGATGAAAATTACAGGCCTCTCTCATCTTTTTAAGTGGGAGAACTTGCACAATTGGTGGCTGACTAAATACTTTTTTGCCCCACTGTATATCCAGTGGAGCTTTCTGCTGTCAACTACAATTAACAAAGCTGAAAAGTTCCCTTCAGACAACTAAGAACAAACTAAGTTCTAGGTTTGTTCTTTTCAGGAACCTAATTGGTCTGTGTTTTGTTTTTATGTTGACCCCTCCTTGTCTTCGGGTCAAATCTGACCGATTTACTATTTTCATCAATCATAACTTTTTTGTTTTACATTCGATTGCATTAAGGCTTTATGATATGATAGATTCTGAAGTATCTCTAACAACATTCCCTCTGCTTTCCTGTAACTCCTCACCTTTTTCTTCTGCTCCTCTGACGCTTTGATGATTCCCGGGTCAGACTTCCAGGATTTTCCAAAGTTGTAGAACAGAAACAGGCTGTTTATCAGGAAGGGAAGGTGGACGGTGACGAAGGGGAGATGTGCAGCGAGGTTAAGGAAGACAGCCAACAGATTTCATTTTAAACACTGCTTTGTCTACTGCAGGGTTTGACCTCAAACCTAACCTTAAGTCCTACTGATGACCTGAGGGCACCAAAACAGAGCTTCATGCACAGTGTGTACAGCTGGAGTGTGGTGCGTTACTTCAATATTGCCTACATCATATGTTGCTCTACATAAATCTGCTTGACACCAACAGTTAATGCCCGTTAAGACGAAGGATAACTGGAAATTATTTTTTTATTACGTAGAGACAAAGAGCTGTTGGTTAAAACCCCCAAAGTGTAAGTTGTGTTCATGTATGATGACTACAAAGGACACTGATTTGACAATGAATGTTTGTTTGGCCTCATTTTGTTGTGATGTCGAATTGGAATAACAGAACAGATCTGAGATAAAGTATTGGCTGACATGTTTTGTGCCCTGAATACTTACTTTGTTCTTCTTACAAATGTGCAACAATAAGTGCATGTGTATATTCAATAAGTCAGTTTTTGTTCGTGTGGTGTAAGGACATCTGAATCTAACTTGCAAGCTAAAGTAGGCGAAATACTGATTTGTTTTTGCAAAAAATAATATTTTCTTCAACTCAATTTGTTCTCATCTCACTCCAAGCAAGGGAAAGGTAATTGCCCAAATGTGAAACGTTTCTTTGAAGCAAACAGACAAAAGGATATCGGTCCAGAACCAGTAGAACCAGGTGGCGTACATCCAGAACTTAGTGGCCAGATATATACCCAGAGGGAGGGCGCTGTGCATGGAGTGGTCGAAGAAAGCCCTGCACAGACAGAGAAATATATAATAATAAATAAGAGATGAAATCAAAAACATATAGAGAATAACATTATAAATAAATAGGTAGGAGTTCAAAGAAGGATAATTAGAAAAACAAGTGACAGACTAAAATAAATACATGTATACTATAGTAATATATACAAATAAAAGAGTAAATACAAATAAATAAAAATACAGAATACAATTAAATAAATAAAATAAAATAAAAATACATAATAAAATTAAATAATTGAATAAATACAATTAAATAAATAAATAAAAATACAGAATAAAATTAAATAATTGAATAAATACAATTAAATAAATAAATACAGAATAAAATTAAATAATTGAATAAATAAAATTCAATATATACATAATAAAATCAAAAATACAGAATAAAATTAAATAATTGAATAAATACAATTAAATAAATAAATAAAAATACAGAATAAAATTCAATAAATGAAATTCAATATATACATAATAAAATCAACAAATACATAAAATATCAAAAATATATACAGAATAAAAAACAATAAATAAAAAATAATAATAATTAATAGAATGAGACGTACTTGAGAGGAACTGCACGGTGATCCAGACCCCGGCCGTACATC